AAAATGTGTTCAACCTGAGTTTTAAACATCTTCTAAAACTAAATTTTTGCACTAAAATGACTGTAAAGGATAGTAAATGCACTTAAAACCAACAAAAGCTTGGTAGAAATCAAACTAGAACAATTGACAACTTAATGACAGTAAATCCACAAATAAGTTCCTAGGTATTAGAGTCTTACCTAGCTGAGGCAGCTCTCTGTTCATGGAAATCGAAGGTATAAACATGGCCAGTGGGGGCAACAGCCCTTGCAAGCGAAGTCGTCAAAGATCCACTTCCAGTACCAGATTCAAGAACCACACAACCAGGAACGATCTCCAGGTACATAACAACAAAACTAATATCAGCTATATAAAGAATCTGGGTTCTGTGACTCAGTACTAGCGTCCATAGCTCAGGAGTTGGAGCTAACAAGTAAACAAAAGCACCTTTGTTACTCAAAACCTTGGACCCAAAAGGTTTACCTATCCATTCAGAATGCTTAAAAGCACCAAAACGATTCTGCAGAACCCCATCCTCACTGACTTTCACTGCTTTCATTGTGTCGTGCCTCTCGTACACAATGACCAAATCTCCATCTTTAATAAAACGCTTAAACGATAATTTATTTGCTGGGTCAATTGGAAGAATCATGTAGAATGGTTGAATCTTAATTATCTGCCAAACATAACCCAATAATTACTCGAGAGCTTCAAAAGTGCTGAAAAGAAAACAGCAGAAACCCAATAAAATATGCAACTTGAAAAACAGAACGGTAACCTTAACAATTCGTCAAGCCTAGAGCTTACAGGTTCGGTCAACCCTGTAGCTTTAGTCCAAATGTGCAATGCTTCTTGTAGTTAAAGAATAACAGGCTTGCTATATATTACATCCCATTAGCATTAGGAGCACTATTTCTTCTAGAAACTATGTACTATCCCACGCCTTTTCCTAAAAGAATGTGTCAAACCTTGAGTACTATGAAACTCAAATCAAGTAAAAAAAAAAAGTCATTTGCCCAAGTTTTGAAGGAGGGAAACAAATTGTTTTGGCCTTTTATCCTTTCTCTGGATTGAGATAATGTGCTCTCTTCTACTACTCTGAATAGTTCAAATTAATAAAATGATTACAAATAATTGCCTATCTAGTTGGGGATGCCAATCTAAATACAGTTAAGTACTGCTCACATTTTAATCCTTTCATCAGGTTGATTAAGCTTCTAGTTTAGGACACACTTCAACTCCTAATTAATATGATTATTTTTGCTCTCTTACCCCCAAGCTCGTGCCATAAGGGACGCTCCATACCTCAGCATAGCTCACCTCAATGCACTTGTCTCATCTCGCCTTTCTTATAATGGTAGCATTCAAATCAGCTATAACGGTTGTTCCCTTCCACCAATACAAGTACCAAATAACGTTACCTAATCATTTTATCATTATGTTGAGATTTGGACACTAATCTCTAAAAAGTTTACCCACTTTATCAGTTTGTTGACCGCTACGCTAATTACTTGAAATAGTGATCATCTTTTTAGCATTAAAAAGTACAATTTGATAAAGTCCACATCGTCTAGATAATGCAAACAATAAGTTTTAGATCAAATTCTCAACACATTCTATGACAGACCCCTGTAAAAACCACCAGAAAACCAGAGGAAAAGCTGGGTTCACGTGTACTGACAATCAGAAAGAACTCCAAAAATACCATATCATCATAACGAAACACTGGACCTTAAATAAGTCAACCCGTTTAACCTCAGTCATTTAGCCACTCAGAGAAAATAGTCCTATCCAGCCATCATATATAATTCATTGAATATGTGCAATGTAATATATAGCAAGGCTAGTATCATCTGCTGATTTCAACATAAGTCCTTTCTTATGAATTGTTTACAATTTGTCAAACATAGTGTTCTTATCTCATGATTTCAATAACTTAACAGAATTATAAATGAGTATAAAGTTGTTCACTCACTTTTTTCAAGTTTTCTACATACCCCTCTGAATGTGTGTTCTTATAAACGACTTCAAAGACCCAAAATCAAACAGAGGATGTACGAGATTCTTCTATGCTCTCAGTTTCAATGAAAACAGCTTTCAGCCCCTGGGAAATATGAAGATGGAAAAATGGCTAGATGTTTTCTTGATGTTCTTTTTGTGCTCTGTTTGGTTTCCTTTTAAAATCGAACGGTAATTTTAAGTTTTTGGTATACTATGACAATCCACAGTAACTACAAACCAAGCATGTTTTTTTTTTCTGAGCACAGTGAAACACTCAAGTCGGAGACGAAGAATTTACATAGAGTTGTGCGAAGTATACTTACAGATGCCCGATGCCACCCACGATGAAGGCCGGAATACTGTACGAAGAGCGAGTAGAGCGGGGTCTGGGCTTGCTGGGTTTCGCACTGGTGAGTTCGAGGAAGAAGACGAGGCGGGGTCTGGGGTATACGTAATGTATTGTTGTTCGTATTGGTGGGTTGGGTCTGTGAGAATAATTGTATTGAGGTGCTGGGCTAAAATATTGTATGGGAGTGGGAAGTTGGGCCGATTTGGTGTTGCTTGAAAGAGAATTGGGCTGCGCTTTAGGATTTGAAAGTTGGTTAGATTGGGAAACAAATGAAATGTGGCTATGATTGCAATTGAAGAAATGGCTTGACGAATTGTTAATTTAGCTGATTCAATTTAACCAAATTGAATTTCACTAGCGAATTCGGCTAAATCTGGCTTAATATGATTAACTAGCGAGTTCTCTCGCTTGCCTAGATTGAGACGGAAAACAAATCACATTGTAGTAAAAGCAGAATATAAAAATCATTTCTAACATGGTTGATAGTTTTTTTGTTTTGTTTTCTACCTGTTTCTAAAATTCATATCGGAACTTCAATTGAATTCGAATCGCGCTCTGCAGGTTTATTTGTAGTGGCATAGCCATATAATGTGAAGGGTGTCCAATTCGCCGGAAAAAAACTAGCATATATACAAGTAAAATAATATACGAAATGATTAAATAACCTATTTTGGATACCCTTTAACATAACAAGTTGTTACTTCTAGACACTCTTTAAGAAATTTCTGAGTCCGCCATTACCTATTAGGGGTGATGTTTCCAACAAGATTTTCTCCACAATCAATGCTCAAACTCGAGATCTCTAGTTACAGGTGAAACAGTCTTATCAATGCACCACAACTCGTTGATTGAAAATTTTCAGCAGTATATTGTAGATATATGATGGTATAAGTTTGATCTTTCCATCTAAATGGCAGCATGAAAATAATCAAAATGGATTATTACCCGTTCAACTTTTTTCTATAACATCAAATAGCATTCACATAACCATTTAAAAGTAAATTCTTTTTATTATGAAAAAGATGACATTTTTTAACGGACTAAAACATATTTGTGATACCTCAAATGGGCGGATGAAGTATTAATAATCAATAATTCAATATATGCAATTTAATTGACGTCACTATATTTATGTAATTAATTAAACTTTATTTTAGTCGATATATGCAATTTAATTGACGTCACTGTATTTAATTGTTACTGTGCAAAATGTTTAACTTCAAATATCGATCATTTGTTTTTGTACATATTTGCATTGACTCGAAGGACGACAAATAGAGGCGGATATACTATTATATTGACTTTCAAATTATAGATTTTTTAATATTTTTGATAAATATTATTAATTTAATATTATTTGAGTGAAATTTTATCTTATATTTCACTATAGTATTTGAGAAACATATTTCACTTTTTTGAATGATATGATTTATATCCATAAAATTTTAAAACCAATCATAAATTTGTATTACAAATTAATTGGATATTCGTCGCAATAAATAACAAGTAGTGTCCATGACACTGAAGCAATATGATGGTTTTGGAGTTAGTTAAACAACCATCATTCCATACATCGTGAGGTAGACAAAACACATGATTTTTTTACCCTTCGGCTGATTGTTCATCATTTTAATTAATAATCATATCATCACTTTCATATTCACTGAATATTTCATCACGTAAAAAATTATATAATACAACACATACAATTATTATAGAGTGTGTTTTTGTAAATCTCAAATAATGAGATTTGACCCAAAAACTAAAAAGAACTACTAGTGTTTAGAAATTTGAGATATTTGTTTAATTTTACAGACAACCACTATTTATCAATTTTCACCCAAATATTACTCAAAAAATTTATAACCGGAACCTAAATTTAATATTTTATACACAAAATATAAATTCACATCCAAAAACTAACAAAGTTAATAAGAAATTCTAATATATATTACTCATAAATTTAAAAAAATAAACGAATTCAATGCCAATTTTAAAGCTTTGACAGGTTCATCGCAAATTTACTGTTCATAAAGTAGTAACAATTGTCTACATTTACTAATTAATACTGTATATTTTTCAATTAAATTTCAAAATGCTTGCACATTTTTTTACCATCACGGCCATTCGTTGTAATGTCTTAATTCTGGTGATACAATGTGTGTTGGATCAACATTTTCTTTTCTTTTTTTAAAAAAAAATCTATCACATTTAATGCACTAATTATTTTAAAACACAACAAATAACTTATCCAAGTGAATTAATAGCGGGTTTATTTCATTTTTTGTTTTTCAGTAATAAATACTTAATATTATTACATTGATTTCAATCAAAATCTCACTTTGGACTCCAAATTCTGATTTTTATGGCTACGCGTCTATTATGTAATAGACGATAAACATATTTTATCAAATGAGTGTTTTGTACTATTTTTATATTTTAAAAGTTTGATAATTAATAATTGAAAGATAATATTAAATTATTAATTTGGTCAATATTGTAAAAAAAATCTTTAATACGATAAATTTTTTAGTATGATAAATTTGTCATTTAATATTGACGAAATAAAATATATTGACAAGATATATTTTATAATTTATTCAATTATTGATTAAAAGAAAATCAAAATTCAATACAATAAATCCTAATCTAGTTGAATAATTTAATTTTCCATGATTTATGCGCACATGTAGCTTGGCGTTCCCGCCATTCAATTGTTTCGGAGAGACTCGAAACTTTTCTATATAAAGAAGTACTCACCAAAGTTGCCATCATCTTCTTAGCAATCACGCTTCAAATCCTTGTTACTTCTTCTTACTCATAAATATGTAATGTCAACTCATTGTTAGGGTTCCACACCACCTTACCCAAGCTCGATTCAACATCTTTGTAAGTAACTAAGTATCATGTTTCCTGAAATTTCAAGAAGGGAAAGGTAACTGAGGATTTCTAGTTGATATTGCAGATTCAATAGAACTTCTAGTTAAGAATATGTACTGCGTCTAGGGTTCAAGATTCCAAGACGAGCTTCAATAATTCCATGTAACTGGGAGGATATACATACAATTTTTAGTGGGCGGTGTAGGTTCTGTTTGCTTATGTGATTATTTAGTTACTTTGATGAAATTATATATATTAGTAACCGTTTCTAAATTGTGCAGGAACAAAGACAACTGAGGATTTCCAGTTGATATTGCAGATTCAGTAGAACTTTTAGTGGGCGTTGTTGGTTCTGTTATGAATATGTATTGCGATTCTATTAGTAACTGTTTCTAAATTGTGCAGGGACAGATCATGCTCACAAAATTACAATTCTGCAAGGACGGTATGTCTTGAAATTTCAAGAAGGGGAAGGTAACTGAAGATTTCCAGTTGATATTGCAGATACAATAGAACTTGTAGTGGGCGTTATATGAATATGCTCCGTGTTAATGCGTTCCTAGGGTTTAAGATACCAAGACCAGCTTCAATAATTCAATGTTGCAATCATATTACTTGAAATTTAAAGAACTGAAAGGTAACTGAGGGGATATGCATACAACTTTTAGTGGGCGGTATTGGTTCTGTTGCATTAAGAGCTTTAATATCATAAGCGTGCCAGTGAATATCTCTGGCTTAGACATTTAACCTTATAGAGATGCTCATAAAGATGGATGAATCAGCCTTGACATAAATGTAAATTGAAATGATAAATCAACCAATCAATAAATTTTGTACAAATATTGCATGATACCATGACCATACACAAATGTTGGACTTATATTATTTATGTAAATGTGACTTACTTGTGCTCTATATCTTCCATTGATTTCCTATGTCTAACTTCAGGAAAGGAATCACTACTTTTCTGTTCTGAATTTAAAGAGGAAGTGATCTAGAGTGTGGTTTCTATGAGATTTTCTGCAGTGGGCTTCTTCAAACTTTTTGATTTTTCTCATCCATACAAGTTTGTCTTTTGTACAGTAGGTTAAAGCTTTTTTCAGCTTGAGGTCTTCTTTATTGTCTTTTGTAGGAAAAAGATTTATTGTGCTGAAAAGTATAGGAATTGCGATCAATATTAGCAGAGGAGTTGACTTAGTTACACCGGTGACATGAGTGGAACAAATATTACTGTTCTGTTAAACAGAAGAAGCTTTAAAGCAATGATGTCTATCTATTTAGAATGGAACTGTGCTAAGGAGGCTCAGCGAGTTAAGGAACCAAACCCGTGGAGATAATGCTTGTCGACCTTGTATAGCTCAGGGATGTATAATTAAAAGTTTACTTTTCTCACAGAACAGTATATTCTAGATTTGAGATAAAGAGGTCCTTGTCTTTAACACTCATTTGCTGTCTATTAGGTCTCACCTATTTACTTATCTTGCTACCTTCATAGTTCAGTATAGGACATTTCTATTAATTTGCTGATCTTCAGGTGGGTAATATGCCGGGGATTCTCTGAACCGGATACCGGGATGCTATGTCTACACTAGATAGCTACAAGATTAAGGCCCGTACTGTATGGCACTGCACCTGTCTTTGAAGTCATGTTTGCAAAATATTGTGATCTTATAGCCAACTGTCTATTCAAGTCCAAATCCACGAGGGCTCGAGGTCATATGTAAAACTGTTGAGTGACTATAACCGTATGACCTTAAAGCCAATGTCTCTGAGCTTTAAACTAATCGAAGAGTAGATCTCATATGCAGAATCCCGAATATATGCTGATAAAGCGGAAGATTCAAAATCGTCAGGTTAGTTCTATTGACTTCACAAGATGATGCACCTCATACTTTTGTTGAAATTTGTATGCTTTTAACTACTAGGAATGCTAAAGTTGATTTGACATTGCTTTAATTGCTGATTCATTACTCATTTGTCGCTGTACTTTCAGAAATGATATTTGTTTGATTCCCTTTGACATCTTTATCAGTAAGTTTATTACATGTGTGTGTCTACTTTAAAAATACTTTTATTTTGTAGATTTATACAAATTCCAAACTCAAATCAGTGGTTTTGGTTAAACTGGCCTAACTGGATTTGTCTCTGAACAGGAGCCGAGGCTTTGTTCCTTAACCCTTTAGACCTTTTAATGTGGGACCCTCTAGGTTCTAGGTGGCAACGTAATTGATTTACTCAGTTTTTCCTTTCTTGTTCTGTTTTTAGAAATAGATATTTTATTCACATACTTGGATTTTATTTCCATAGTCTATAATAGTTCTGATGACACGGACTAACAGTGCATTCCACTACATAATCTATTGCAAGAACCGCTTCAAATGCATGTCTATTTCTGATACCGAGAGATAGATTATAGTACACTGTCTAATTTTCATCTTTGATTTCTATTCCTATTATAACTCCTAATGTTGATATAGTTGCTAGCATAAAGCCATAAACATTAAATATCCTAATTTCAAAATAAAAACGAATGAAGTTTAAGACTGAGAGCATCTGTATTTGTTTCATAGCAGAAGTGCACAAAAAGGGCAGAGAAGAACTGAGTAGGTACAGATTATAGGAATGTAAGCATAGTACCGGAGTGGAATTATCTATATATGTTCTTTTACTTCTTGTTGTGTAAAGGACATAAATTCCTGATGGATGAAAGGACATAAAACTGTGGAGAGAAAGAGATATTTGACTTTGTGGCTTAGTTTCGAACTTCATTTTTTCTTTATTTTCTACAAGATCCCACTATCTAGACTTCATGTGTTATCCAGGGAAGCTTTTCCTATGTACTTGACATGGTTCAATCATTTGTTTTTTGTATGCAATTTTCAGAATTTAGAGCATCTTTTGTCAATGGTGAAGCAAGTCCCCCCTGCATCGGCACATGATGCTTTTAGGCCTGCAATGGAAGCACTAGCTGCAATTGAACTTCTACGGCATCCTGACATAGATGTGAAGGTGTCAGTTACATCTTGCATTAGTGAAATCATGAGAATTACAGCTCCAAATCAACCATGTGATGATGCACACTTAAGGCAAATACAACTCATACAACCTTCTTTGTCCAAATTTGAAGTCAGAATGATTTCCAGTCTCTCCTATAACTAAGTTGTTTTGCTTTGTAGTTGATGGTTCATATTCTTTAGCAGTTATGCATATATGATTTTCTTGGTTGCATGAATAGTATTTATATATGCCCACAGTTTAGTTTCTTGCTGAGTTGGTGGACAGGACTTTTTTGAGCTTGCTGTATAGGCGTTTGGGAAATTGTCTTGCTTGGATAGTCGCTGTTATTCAAAGTCTGTCGCTTGGAATTTCGGAAAGTGAACCCTAGTTTTCAGATCCTGGCCTTGGTAGAACTTGTCTTTGATTGGGATTTCGATTGAAAAGATGTTAGGCCGTCTCTATTATTGAAGTTCTTGCGAAGTACTGAATATGTGTGCTGATGTGGGATCTCGATTTTGGATGTTCAGATGTTTCAACATTTTCTGAATAGTATAAGGTATATCTCCAATTACTCATAATTTTTCTGAAGGAAAGAGGGATTCAACAGGTTGTAACCTTGCTGGCATGTTATCTTTTGTGTTCATTTGTTTTTCTTGTAATATGATGTTTTTTATTTATTTTAAAGGTGGGTCTCATGGACCCTATATTAGAAACCAAAAAGAGCAAAAACCAGACCATAACATGTTCTAGCCCAAAACACCAACAATCTGTCCAAAAACCAAAGGAAGAAATGAACACCCTAAAAGAAAATAAATAAATGAGAGTTGGTCGTCTTCTAGCTTGAGCTTTCATCTGCCATGGAGGACGAAGAAGAAGCGCTTGTCTTGGAGTGAAATCGACTTATCAACGGCTGCAACCATCTGAGTTCGGGCTGTTTCCACACAAGACACTCTAAATCTCACGAGTGTCATGGAAACAAATCCCTCTGAATTCACTTCAACACAGCTCAAACAGATCAGGTAAGAATCAATCTACTCCCCGACTCGCTTTAATGCTGTAAGCCAATCCTTGATCTCCATTTCTAAGTTTTACCCTTTCCTGCATATAGAGCCAGAAACCCTAACTAATACCACTCATAGGCCGGGTAATCCCTATTAATTTTGCTAAAGGTTGTTCCTTTAAACTCACTGCTTCACTGCTGTTCAGATTTGTATATCTTGATCAACCCATTACGCTTTCCTTTTCTTTGTGCTTTCACCTGAAATACTGTTGCTGATTGCCTCATTGTGCATTAGAAACATTACCACAGTAGCCATATTTTATATATTGCATATTTCTGATTCTTAAGTTTGCAATTCCTGCTTTATCCATGTATATCAAAACCTTCACCTCTTTTGATAATTCCTGAAAGGATGAGAAAATAAAGCTTTGTTTACCTGCAAAAGAGAAAACATATGATTAGCTAAAAGGTCAGCAACCTTGTTGCCTTTTCTGAATATATGTTCAACCACAATCTCCCTCTCCTTCACTAAGTGCTTAATTCTTCTAATGTCAGCTGAATACTCCATGGAACCTCCCATTCGCCATCTATCATCTTCTTCACAGTAAGAGACTCGGTTTCAGGAGTAACAGGAAATAACTCTTTTCCTTCTGATAGCACTGATCTCTGCCATTAAATTATTATCATCCTCTAGCCTCTTTACTTCAGCATATACAAAATTTCCTTCTACATCCCTAATGCAAAAGGCTCCAGAACTAGGCCCTGGATTGCCTTTAGAAGCACCATCAGAGTTACATTTAAAACAATAGAAGGCTTAATCCATTAAACTCCAAAGTCATAGTAAATTGTGCCATCGTTCCACCATGTTTGATTATGTTTCTTCTTTCCAAATCTGCCACAAGATGAACATAGGAACTGCTTTGAATATGCACTGAAGTTAGAGTGACACCTCTGCCTTCCACCACTTCAGTACTGTGTCTTTCGATTGAATGAAAGGACCACTAATCCCTGCAGCAGTTGCAGATACAGACACCATAGTCTACTAGAAAATTCAAAGTTTATGAATAAATTCACAGTTAAAGTATTTCCCTTTTTCTCATTTTCATATATTTATTTGTGCACTGCGACAAGAATAGAACAGAACTGCAAATTGTCAACCTTAAAGAGCAGAATGCTCATGAGTGAGATGAGTAATCGCTTGTGACTACTGCTATCTTGTGGTCAGTATATTTTAGTTTGCTACTTGGCTTAGATTCTATCTTGGTCAATTTCTGTCTTAGGAGAACTTATAATATGGGTGCCTCAGCAGTTACATGCCCTTGAAAGATTGCCCCAGCTGAGATAGAAATGGGGGTGGAAACGTGGAAAAGGACGATTTATCTCTTGAAATTTACTAGCTCTACATGTTCTGAATAATAAATAGTAACATAGGACATAGAAATAATCAATTTCTAGTGTCGCTTTTCCACGGTCCACCCCCTTTTTACTAGCTCTACATGTTCTGAATTGGGCATGATCAATTGATCACCTTAAAAAGCCCAAATCAATTTAAAATAGAACAATTTATATTCCAAACAGAAGGGCATGCTGAATCTCAGCTGGGGCAATCTTTCAAGGACATGTAACAGCAGTAGTTTCCTGTGTCACTTTTCCTCTTCTCTGTTTTGGCAACATGAAGAAGGTTGAAATGTTGGTAGTTGTAGATCAGATTGGTATGCTTAAACCATCGGGATTAGCTCAATAGGCACCGGTTGAGGGACTTGTGTGTTAGGTCACAATTTCGAGCCTTCCCAAGCAAACTCAATCCGGTATTTAAGTGGAGAAGGGTAGAGCGTGGCCCATCATCCCCAAGTTCCAAAGGTTGCGGTTGACCCAAAAGGCTGCTCTAGATAGATTACTCAAATGTAAAAGAAAGATTTGTAGAATTGAAAAGTAAAAAGAAAAGGAAGTAAAGGCTGTGTACCAGGAGGAGTGGGAGAAACCATGTCTAATTGCTGGCACCAATCAATTACTAGGTACCATTTCCGCAGCTTCAATCAGTCTCATGATGAACAGAAGTCACTTCCGATGAATTTACCCCGTTCTCTAGAAAATCAGTCTCCACAACTTGCTATCTTCCCTCCCTTAGGATATAGTGTTTTCCGGGATCTCAACAACCGTCTGCCGAATACAATATTATTTTATGCAACTTTTACAACTTCTAAAACTTCAATGTTCGTGACTGTTCAAATTTGAGATCTGATAAGTATGTTATTTTCTTGTCAAACTAACTCTTTGACTACTACTTAGATATTTTTCCACTATCACTAATTAATCATAAGTCAGATATACATCTTAAAATTTATACCAATCTTACACTGTTACAACAAATGGGATGGAAGAAGTATACGACAGTTTAGCAGAATATTCACCGTTGTGCCTTCATATATTGAACGCAACATAAATGAACTTATATGGTAAGGTGCATAGCATGTCAAATACTACCGAATTCTTTTTTTCTGCATAAAGTTCAAAGACTACACGTTTCTCAGTATGCCATATTTTTCTTTTGGGCTGACAACTGTTTTGTCTCTTGCCCATTTTAAGGCTGGACCACCCTGATCAACTATTCATGGACATCGAGGAAATAATGAGCATTGTATAAAAGAGAGTGAAGAAATTCCAATGCAGCTTCTGAATATCCTCATAAGTATTGTTAAGAAGGAAAATCAGATATTGCTTTTCCTCTATAAGTTTATTCATTTGTCTTTCTCATTGTTTTTTTAATGATGTCTTATTTTGGTTTAGAATTTTTAAGATATGGATGAATTTTCACCTCCTTCCTATGTGTTGGTAGAGGAAGTTCTTGAAGAAAGTGCTGTCAAACTTCATCCATATCTTACAAAAGCTGTGATGGCATCGGCATTTCCTTTAACAACTATTCGGAAGTTGTTGAATTAATATGGAGGGAGACAATTTGAAGTAAAGCTATGGTGGGTCTATCAGATATTCAAAGTAATTGCTGTATTTATGTAAAATTCTCCACTTCTCCTTCTCTTGTTTAATTTACAAAGAAATGGAAGCAGATAAACATGCAGTGTTCATTTTGTGGCAGAACATCTTTGCTATGACTTTCAATTTCTGTGTTCTGTCTGACTTGTCCTCTTTTCTTGGTTATGTTCTGACATATGTTGGATCCTTGGAGAAGGAATGCTAAAATGTAGGAAACATGTCTAGTGATCAGTGCCTGATCACTAAGAAACTGACATATGTTGGATCCTTGGAAAGGAATGCTAACATGTAGGAAACATGTCTAGTGTTCAGTGCTTAATCAGCCGATCATGAAAAAAGGAAGATCTAATAATCTTAGGAAAATGAGGTGGGAAAAGAAAGAAATACGAAATTAAATATGTATAAAAAGAAAAAGAGGAAAGAAAATGTAGTCCTTGGTGTCCACAGTGACCGTTCCAATGAAGGAAATAATGACATGTTTGGCCTTCAAATAAGATGACTTGGACCCCTCCTGTATTTATGATTGATTATTACACAATGTGCTACAGATTTTTTATAACTTGATCCCCTGTTCCTTGTTAAATTTAAAGCGCTGTGATCATAACTTGTTAGGTGATGGTTTACTTAAGTTCTTTTTACTTTTATAAACACAAGGAATGTGTAAACATGTAGTTTCCACCAAGCTGTCCTCATTTTTAGACTAGCTTGAGAAAGATATACATTAAGCTACTTTAGGGGATAGTCAGAAGTTCTTATTTGGCTGGTTAGTTGTTGATCTAAAGGGTATACTGAAGGTAACTTCCCCTATTATAGGTGATATTGTTCTGGATTTATAGTAATGATGTGAACTCTTCCTTTCCTACACACTTGTCAGGTGGAAAATGTTCCCGAATAGCTTGCACCACATGCTGCACCTGAAAGAATCGCTCCGTTCTTAGATCAACCACCAATTAGGCTAACTGTTTGATTTACCTCTGCTCTTGATTCACCGACTGATGATTGTCGTCCTTTATCAAGATATCTGGAAGGTACAGTTTCTTGTCGTCTTTTTCGTGTTTCTCTAATGCCTCCACTACTGCAAATTCTTCTGAAGCAAATCGATGTAGGTTGTGAGACTTCCGTCTTGGTTATAGATTCTGGTGAATCTCTAGCTGAAATTGATGAAAATTGTGCACCATCATTTTAACCTATTTTGTCATTTTTATTCTTTTGGCTTCTCTTTATAGAAATCATTATTGGGGTGTTATCTTCACCTGATGAAAAATACAATCCATTGGAGGACACACATTTAAGTGAACTGCTACTCCTCTTTTTAGTATCTTTCCCACGACTCTTCAAAGAGAATATGAACTTTTGATCTCCTTTTTCCACTTATCCGAGCATCACCATATACTTCCTCTGATTTACTTATAAAAGTTAAGTTTTCAACCTCTTTTCCTTGAAGTTTGAGTAGCTTCTGGATCTAGTGTTTTTTGGCTGCATTTATGAAACATAAGTTTTCAGATTGCAAAGTGATCCTTGAATCTGTACTTTTCTGTTGCTTCATTGCATCTCCATGTTCTGATTCCTTTAAAGTTGTATCCGTATCTAGAACAACTTTAAAGGATACAAAATGCGGAGATGCAATGAAGACCACTTCGCGATCTGAAAACTTGGGTTTTCATAAATGCAGCTAGCCGAGAAAGATAGTAGAGCCAGTAGCTACAATAAACCAGAGGAAGGATATGATGATGCTTGGATAACTAGAAAAAGAAGATCAAAAGCCCATATTCTTTTAAAGGGTCATGGGAAAGATACTAAAAAGAGCAACAGTTCACCTAAATGTGCAATCTCCAATGACTGTATTTTTCATCTAGTGAAGATAATACTCCTTGACTTCTACAAAGAGACGCCAAAGGAGAAAAATGACAAAATAGGTCCCAATGATGTTTTACGATTTTGAATAAGAGATTCAGCAGGAGCTATAACCAAGAAGAAAGTCTCACAACCTACATCGTTTGCTTCAGAAGAATTTGTTGTTGTGGAGGCATTAGAGAAACATGAAAAAGACGACAAGAATATTGTACATTCGGATATCATGATAAAAGACGACAATCATCAGTTGGTGAATTAGGAGCTGAGGTAAATCGAACAGTTAGCATCATTTGGCTGAGTTCGTTTAGGAAGTTGTGTATTAAGTATAACATTTGTTTCTGGACTTATTATATACATAAATTGCATTGGGCTCTATCACCTTTACTGCTTACATTCTTTCACTTGTAATTTTGATCCCACATCCCTGTAGATATGAGATTTTGGGGGCTTAGATGTTCACCCTAAGATTATTTTTAGGCTTGTACAAGAGATGAATGTGATACCTTAATTTTTTTTAAAAAAAACATGATTGTTTAGTTGTATAATTCTCTACTTCTCCTTTTCTTGTCTAATTTACAAAGAAATGGAAGCAGATAAACAGGCAATGTTCATTTTGTGGCAGACAATCTTTGCTATGAGTCAAGTTCTGTGTTCTGTCTGACATGTCTCTTTTTTTCTTGGTTATGCTCTGATTTCTCAGCTTTGGTGTTCCAGAGGAGTAATAGAAAACTGACATATGTTGGACCCTTGGGAAAGGAATGCTAAAATGTAGGAAATATGTCTAGTGATAAGTGCTTAATCAGCCGACCATGAAAAACGGAAGATCTATTAATCGCAGGAAAATGAGGTGGTAAAAGATAGAAATACGAAATTAAATTTATAAAAAAAAGAGAGAGAAGACAATATAGTCCTAAGTGTCAACAGTGACCGTTCCGATGAAGGTAATAATGACATGTTTGAAACTTGGACCCTCCTTGTTTAATGCCTTGAAGGCAATCTGTAGCTTCAGTTATGTGTATTTATCATTGATTATTACACAATGTGCTACAGAGTTTTTATTACTTTGATCCCCTGTTCTTTGTTAAATTTAAAGCGCTGTTAACTTGTCAGGTGATGTTTTCACTTGAGTTCTTTTTACTTTTATAAACTCAGGAATGTGTACACATGTAGTTTCCACAAATCTGTCCTTGTTTTTAGACTAGCTTGAGAAAGATATAACTTAAGCTACTTAATGGGATAGTCAGAAGTTCATGTTTTGCTGATTAATTGTTGATCTAAAGGTGGTAACTAATGGTAACTTTCCAGATTATTGGTGATATTTGGGCTGGATTTATAGTAATGATGTGAATTCTTCCTTTCCTACAAACTTGTCAGGTGGAAAATGCTCCCGAATAGCTTGCACCACATGCTGCAGCTGACAGGGTAAGTCAAGAGTTGAGGTAGGTACAGTTTTCTTGTTGTCTTTTTCATGTTTGTCTAATGCCTCCAAAACAGCAAATTCAACTATATAGGTTGTGAGACTTTCTTCTTGGTTACAACTTCTGGTGGATTTCTTGCTGAAATTGATGAAACTTGCACACCATCAGTTTGACCTATTTTGTCATTTTTCTTGTTTTGGCATCTCTTTATAGAAGTCATTATTGGGGTATTATTTTCACCAGATGAAAAATACAATCCATTAGAGATTGCACATTTAGGTGAACTGCTACTCCTCTCTTTAGTATCTTTCCCAGGACCCTTCAAGAGAATATGGACTTTTAATCTCCTTTCTCCGCTTATTCAAGCATCAGCATATCCTTCCTCTCTGTTTTATTCAAAAAAGTAGGTTTCCAACCTCTTTTCTTTGAAGTTTTGAGTTACTTCTGGATTTAGTGTTTTTTGGCTGCATTTATGAAACCCAAGTTTTCAGATCACAAAGTGATTCTTGAATTAATACCTTTTTGTTGTGTTATTGCATTTCCACGTTCTCATTCCTTTAAAGTTGTATCGTATCTAGATCCATCTCATGATGTTATTCTAGAGACGGATACAACTTTAAGGGAATTAAAACGTGGAGATGCAATGACGCAACAGAAAAGTACTGATTCAAGGACCACTTTCCCGCTGAAAACTTGGGATTCATAAATGCAGTCAAAAAAGCAGTCAGTAGCTATACTCAAACTTTGATGTGTTGAGTTTGGAAACCTCCTTTTTTGAATTAATCAAAGGAAGGATATGCTGATGCTTGGATAAGTGGAGAAAGAAGATTAAAAGCCCGTATTCTCTTTGAAGGGTCGTGGGAAAGAGATACTAAAAAGAGGAATAACGGTTCACCTAAATGTGCAAATCTCGAATTACGTATTTTTCATCTGGTGAAGATCATGCTACATTAAATGCTTCTCTATAAAGAGATGCCAAAAGGAGAAAAATGACAAAACAGGTTAAGACTTTGCACAATTTCAGCGAGAAATTCACCGGAAGCTATAACCAAGAAGAAAATCTCACAGCCTTCATTGTTTGCTTTAGAAGAAGTTGTTTTTTTGGAGGCACTAGAGAAACATGAAAAAGACAACAAGATAACTATACCTTCCAGATATCCTGATAAAAGGCGGTGGTTACCAGTTGGTGAATCAGGGAGCTGAGGTAAATTAAACCATTGTCTGAATTCATTTAGGAAGTTGTGTATTTAAGTATGCATTTAGCTCTGGACTTTTGATATACATAAATTAAATTGTGCGGGTTATCCCTGATATGTCTTTTCAACCAAAGAAATCTATTCTAAATAACAATGTAAAAGGGAAAATTTGCCATCAGAAGAAAAGATCAGCATTTATTAAAACTAGCTTATTTAATTAAATTAGACAACCTTCAATAAGTGGTTACACTAAAGTGAATGTTCTTATTTCGAAAGTTATGTCGACTCGAGTATTTAATTTACCCCTTTATTTGGACTTGTTATGTACATAAATTTATCTCTGCAGGCACTGAGAGATCCTCAAACACCAAAGAAAGCAATTCCCAAAATCCAGTAAAAAACAACGTAAAAGGAAGAACTCGCCATCACAAGAAGAGGTAAACTTATGTTATCATTAATTCGATCTGGCTTTTAGTTATTAATATTAGCCAACGTACAGTAAGTGCTTACTAAAGTGTGAATGTAGTTTTTTTGGAATATTATGTCAATCCAAGTGAAGTGTTTTTTCTATCCCTTATTTCTCCTCAACCTTCTTTGAAACTCAAACTGATTCTAAATGTAAGTTCTCCTAGGCATTAATTTATGATAATTGGTTCTTTTTATATCCTCTTAAATTAGTCCTTTTTACCCTGCACGACAACCATTCTGGTCTCTAGTGTTCAGTGTGCCATTGTGAATGGCAAACTGCTACGGAAGTTTAGATGAGAAAGTGAACCCAGAAAGCATGCATGGCGAAGTGATAGAAATCTCAAAAACTTAATATTAGTATTTATTTCATAACACCTTTCTATGCTCGAAAACTTGGCAGGGAAAAGCAACTGATCATCAGACTCCTCCAACAGTGGAAGTTATTTATATCACATTTAGACCCCATAAAGAATGTGATTCCAGCTGAACAACATTTTATGTAGGACCATGCAGCATAATTTAACTCCAAAAGTAAAAGTAACCAGTGCTCCCACATTTACTGCCATTTTTGCCGAGTATGATGACATTGCAGTCAACTGTCACTATACATCATTGGCTTCCATAGCTTCCCTTCTTGATCTGGTTTGTGAATGTTGTAAAGAGGCTCGAAAACAGTGATATTGGTTCTTCTTCCATCAAAGAGATGAAGTCTTTTGTCTCTGCTGCCGTGGATGTCAAGCTTGATGTAACTTGGCTGCAGCAGTATACTCCATTGAATTTGTGGAGCAATACATCAATTTCTCTGTAAAATGAGTTTATTAACATTCTTTTTATCAAACACACAATGTTTATCTTGATGATCCTTTGCTTCAACAATATCGAGGATTCCTCAAATAATCTGATTGATATATCTTATGTGTCAGGAGTGAATTGATATACATGTAAATTGCATTGTGTAAAAAACACAAATAGTTTGCACACATTCATTACTTGAAAAAATGTAGACATTTAATGTGAGTTAATGTGGTGAATGTTTATGTCTTTATAAAAAGGCAAAATATAGATAAATAGAATGTATACATAAAGGGGTTAGACATTGGATGACTTACAAATTCGAAAATATGTCTTAATTCATTTTAGTATAATAAATACATAGAGAAAAATAATCCACCACATCCATAAACTGTCTATTATTTCCAGGTTCACTCAAATATCAATTATATAAACCAAATCCGACTATAATAACATCATTGGAGCATCTAACAAAGTTATATGAAAAAATGATGCTTTTTAAATTCGAGCTAATAAAGATGGTAAAAATGATAGATTTTATAAGTTGGGTGGGTCCCATAACTATTTTAAACGGTTTTTAAGGGTGAAATTGTAAAGCTTAGGGTAAAAAAACTAAATTGAACACATTTTGTCATACATGAAGAATTATTTCAATCTCCTAAAATATATCAAGGATCAAAATAAAACAACTTCAATATCTGAAGGGTCATTTTGATCATTTTTTCATTAAGAAAATATACATTACAAAAAAATTATAATTATTTTGAAATTGACTAAAATGAAAAGTACAACATCTAATAAATTCTTAAAGGGTACGGAAAGAGTAAAGTATATAGATTTTATCACTATTTTAATAAAATAAAAAAGTTAATTTGAAAAAATCATCGCGCTCAAGTGCATTAATTCAAAGAAGAAAACAATGAAAAATGCAAAACACAATTAAATACAATAAGTATGTAAATGGCTTTCCCGCCATTCAATTTTTTCCCAAGCGGTGAACGCTTAATTTATATATAAATAAAGTAGTACGGTCCTCTCATTCTCTCATCATATTCATAAACTCTCAACTGCGTCAATTCCATTGCTAGGGTTCAAGATTCCAGCACTCACTTCCAATTCTTTAAAGTTAAAGAAGGAGAAGAAAACTCATGAGGATTTGTATTAGTAACTGAAATATCATGTTCTTGACCATGGAAACTTGTAGTATTCATCTCGCATTCATTGTTAGGGTTCGACGCCACCATCCCAATAGTCGTCTTTGAAGTGGCATTATAAATGGAGTTCCAGTTGAGGATCTTCATAAATTGTTGGGTTCAGTTGATTTTGGCAACACATCTCACAAATGTTTTTCATATTTCTTGAAATTTAAAGAATTGGAAGGTAACTCTAGTTACTTTTGTAGATGTAGTCCCACGATCATGTGATTATTTAGTTGTGATCTGAATTATTTATATTAGTAGCCGCATTAACTATGGGAACTTGTAATATTCATCTTCAAATCACTTTTGCTCTAAATTCATTGCTAGGGTTCAAGATACCAAACTCACTTCAATTCTTGGAATTTCTTGAAACGAGATAAATCATGAGTGTTCTATATTATCACTTTCACTCTAAATCATTCTCACTTCTTCCTAATCTCATTGTTAGGGTACCACACCATCATCATCATCACAAATACTATTGGTTCAGTTGATTTTGGAAACTTGTAATACATCTCGATCACAAATATTCATTATATTTGTAGTCCAGCAATCATGCGATTATTTAGTTGTTATCTGTAAATTTTGATGGAATTATTTATCATTGTAGCTGTTTCTAAATTGGACTCTCGCATAGCACTTTGGGCATATGGTACATGGGGGCTACTATGTATGTGGTGACTGGTTCTCTTAGTCAAAGGTCAAGCGTCCTCTTAGTTTTTTTTTTTTTTTATGTATGAAGTAAGTAGATTCATTGTTGGCATGAAGAAGATGCTAAGTGTACAGAAGAGATGCTGTCGGCTTCATTACAATTGTCTATGCTACAAAAAGGTTATACTAAAACTAATTAGAATGTTAGCCCAAGGAGGCAAAAAACTAGTTTATGTGCAACTGTCTCTTAGTCTTGTATATGTGCTTTAGTATCCTTCAATAACTGAACCCATTGTGTTGGATTTGATCATTAGATTTCTTAAGCAGTACTCATTATCTATTCATCTTCCTATCAGTTACACTCCAAATCGTTCTCACATTTTGAATATGTACTATGTGTCAATGCATTGCTAAGGTTCAAGATAACAGAGTTGAATAATTCCAAGTTACAATCTTTTTTCTTGAAATTTAAAGAACGGGGAGTTATCCAATTGATACATACAATTTCTAGCGGTTATGTGGATCATTTGATTATTTAGCTACTTTGATGGGATTATTTCTGTTAGTACATGCATCAACTGTTTCTAAATTGTGCATGGTTTCAAATACTCTCAGTTGTGCAAGGATAAATAATTCTTTTGACCGACTGGTTCTCCTGTATTATCACATTTGTCAAAGGTCAAGCTTCCTCTTAGGTTTGTATATGCGCATGGAGAAAAGTCATGGTCTTGACTATGGAAGCTTGTAATATTCATTTGCATATCACTTTCGCTCTAAATCATTCTCACTTCTTCCTTATCTCATAAATATTTATTGTGCCATGGACAGGGTTCCACGCCACCATGCCCAGAGTAGCTTCAAGATCTTTTAAGTACCATTATGGTAGCGATTGACAGAGTTCCATGCCATCACGGTCACAAATACTCTCAGTTGAGGATTTTTCTAAATTGGTCGGTTTAGTTGATTTCTTGAAGTTTAAAGAACAGGATGGTATTGGTTCTGTTACTTCTGTAGATGTAGTCCCGCGATCATGTGATTATTTAGTTGTGATCTGTTACTTTTGATGGAATTATTTCAAAATTGTGCAGGAACAAAGATCATGGTCACAAAATTATTATATGGCAAGGACAGAGTAAGTTTGTTATGCGATCACTGTACACGAATAGACTATGGTTTTATTTATTTGCATAGGGTAGTTATGAAGCTTGGAATTGTTTCTTTAATGATGAAGAGAGTCAGCCAACTGTTGAAATAAAAATGTCCATGTTGTTTATGAGGTAGGATAGAAATGCTCTAAGTTGATGATGTGTATTCACAAAAACTCAAAAGCTATCATATTCGGCTGCGATACTGTTTTTTTCATTTTCCATTTAACATACGAGAGTGGTGGTATTTTATTCATTTGTTGTATGTAAAATGGCCAGAAAGAACGCTCTAATTAGAGGTGGATATTTAGGGATCTTAATATCTTTTGTTTATGCATTAAAAATTCACAAACTACAAATGCAGTTGTTATTGCATATCAGCTCAAATGTCTTAAAAGAGAGTATAAACTTTAAATTCTGGATTTGTATCTGTGTCTCTGTTGTGTGTCTTTGAATTGACTCTGTAACTATGGGGGTGCAAAGACAGGTGCTCCAGCCTCAGTTAGCAGAGGAATAGCTGCAAATTAAACTTGCCAAGTAAATCTTAAAGGTTACTTTATGATTAATTATGTCAAAGGAATTTAACCATAGTAAAAAAAAAGGGGGAAGGTATATAGATTCACAGCCACCAATGTGCATGAAGACGATTGGTGTTGTTCACTGACCAATCCACTCAGCCAGTGCTGCCTGAATCTCACTTTCATCCGCTATAACAACAAAGTCATTTAATTTTATTTTGTATCAATAAAGTGTGATTGTAATTGCTAAGCCGAAGCAGATGCCCTTTACTTTCGGAATCTAACTCAATGGCCTTGAAGGAAGTATACAAATCCTTGACACTAATAAAAACTACTCTAATTAATAGTAATATATTTGACAATTGCACAGTCAAATAGAAATTAATTACCTCAAGACCGACCATAACTGGATTGGCAGTAATTATTTCCTTGGCATCTTCATAGACAAGGACACTTCTTATTTTTTGGTTAACAATGCCCTCTAGTTGATCAATGACGGCGATGGGTGTTGGTCTTACCGCAAAAAGAGACGAATAGGGGTTCTTATTTTGTGCGCGTCTTTAATGTTTTGAAAATTAAACTCATTTAGGAACAATAAATAACAGATGTACATGTACTAAAAATATTCTAAGAATAAAATTTAAAACGTGAGTAATAGGATTTTTACATAGTGTAGAGGTTAATAAGACAATTTTTTTATAATTCAAAGTTCTTTCATCATACATGCATCATCACTATTCACTAATAACTTGTATATGCATAACATGTATAAAGATTGATCTTTACTAACAATAATAGAAAATTCTTAATTATTTGTATGCAGTAGTAAAGTATGTCTCAAATTATCATATCTTATCAGGTAACAAGGAGGAGCGGAGCCACCGTTACAAATTTATAATCAATAATTCTTGTACGAATTATTTGAATTAGTAGCTCTAAAAAGATGACGTTTGCGCCTTTCATTTTCAACATTTGGAATTCTTTGATTAATTTGAGAAAGTCATTCAGTGGTAGCTGGATCCATATCTCCCTTTGCTTTGCCAAATAGAGAAAGAAGCTTCTATTTATAGGCGTTGGAGGCCCTCAACCCTTTCTTATTATTAGTAAGATAGGTTGTCTTGGTTCCGTAACATAGTTCAAACCTGGCTTTTCATGAATATGGAACCCCATCCACTAGATTTAAGTGCGCTGAATAATTGTCCTTTCCTCGTACGCATTTGAGTACTCAAGGCCCCTTTTCTTTTGGCGGGTATCTCCACGTGGCTTAATCCCGGATCACTACTAAAGAAATAGAATTTAATAATATAGCGCACATCAGAAAAGAGAGTACCCCTTTATTATAAGATAGGCCCGCGTCCTTTCTTAAAACATGTTTTTACTTGTAAATTGGGTCATATAATTGGAACACGTCACAAAGTGCATAGTGCTACAAAATCATCTAGGGAGGAGTACTTAATTAAAATATTAAATAAATGATTTTTTCATAATCCTATAAGAAAAAATGATTATCCTTCCGGATTAATATTTACCCGCCTGAAAACAAACTAGACGGGTACATATATTGGTTTTCTTGCGTCATCCTTATAATAGCACCAATGATGTGGGGCTTTCATGGGTTATATAATATTCAAAGTTGCAATTTGCATCCTTCTTTATATCCTTGGAACATAAACTAAGGTTGTTCAAGAATCACTTTAGCAATATTCTAAAGAGGCTTGTTGCCACCTTTGAATATTCTAATTCCTAGTTATGTTGTGTTTATTAGTTCATTAAAAGAGACAAGGTGCAAGTACTGCCAGACTGTTGGAGTCAATGACGCTTTAGTTTGCAACAAACAAAGTAACAGTGACAAAAACCTAATTGCGCTTTAACAACTGAGCTAACAGCCAAAAAAAGTCGAGAAGACGATATATTGAAGTAATCATATGATTCTTTCTATTCAAAAGAATTATTCCTTCTTGTTGAGCTTGACTGATTTTTGCAATAGCAACCTCAGTTAACCAAGCGTGTTTCAGGAACACCAGCACAATGACAATGCTGACAGATGACTCGAAAAATGGATTTTTATGAAGGATCCTAAATAAAACGAGACAATAATATACACAACCCATTGAAGATCAGTATGAAGGGACCACTCAACAACCTGTTATCTTGTACCTGAACAACTACAAAAACTAGAGTAAAGAATGTCTCAACGGGCAGTGTGAGTAGAGTTATGTTAACAGTGAAAGGATGCTGCTCATGATCTTCTTCAGCTCATACATGTATGTTCTCACTACATAATCCAGTACAACTTAAATAGGCGCCGAGGCATGAAGCTTCTCTTGAAGTTTCTGTGCTACAGCATCAATAAATTCTTCAGTGTTCAAGTAGAATTCTCTTGACACCCTGCAAAAGTATAATTACTCAAATACTGAGTTTCACTGAAATTAAGAGAGAAGTCGCAGACTATTCATGTTAACGTCTCTTCATTTGGTTTATCTTGCTAACTGAATCAAGTTTTTGTGTCAAAAACATTTTTCATAATAAAGAATTTATCAGTAAGAAGGTGAAAAGTTCTTAGTATAATTATTCAAGGTGGCTTAGGCTATAGAATTTATTGTTCACTTTATTAAAAAATAAATAAAATTGGTGTAAGGGACATCTTTTGCACCTCGAAATACATGGTATTTTGAGTAGCAAATACCAAGAGGAGGAGGACTCTGTCCTTACCCAGGAGTAGGGCAAGGGTTGACAGACAGTTAGAGGAGATATCAGAAATCCCAAGTGTGGAGTAAAGAAAAAGAGCAGGATGATATATGCCGTACAGATGACACTGAAGCAGGAAACCATCACTTACTTGGGTCCGTGAGCTAATATAGCTAAGTCCTTAGTCATCTTCCCGGACTCTATTGTCCCAATGCAAGAAGCTTCAAGGGTGTGAACAAATTCCAACAACTTTTGATTCCCATCAAGCTGAGCCCTGCAGAAGAATAGTGTGTATTTTTAGGCATTGAGAGACAGATCCATTCAAATCGGAAATTAACAGCCACCTTTAGTTTTTCTGTCAAATTAGATAATGTCCGCTTACCTAAAAGTAAAATAAATGGAAAAAGAATAGAACACCAGTATTGTGTTTGCTTTTGGAGTGCCCCAATAATCTCACCATAACAAAAGTAGACTTTCCATTCCTCAACTTTCCTCAAAAACATCGGAAATACTTCTCGGCTCTTGCTCAAGGAGAGTTCTTTCATATATAGAGGAGCACAAATGGAAAAGAGCAGGAATAAATTTTAATTTCATTTATAAGGGAAAACCAGACCCGCTATATGGACACAGCGAGTAACACAAAATTTGTACAGAATCCATTTTTGCATCCACTACTCTTCCCTTTTTTTCCATCTAATTATAGAGACAACATGATATCAAGCAGGCTATCAGTTCATTATTCGACCTACTTTAGTAATAGTCATATCACCAAGCCAGAAAAATTGATTCAAGTGATGGTGCAAGCAAAAATAATAATAGTTTAGGTAGACAGGCAACCTCACCCAATCCCAAGAAATTAAGGAAAGAAGAGGAAAGCCTCTAGAGTGTGTGTGTAGAGAGAGAGAGAGAGAGAGCAGAAAGGGGAAGAGGGATCAAGTAGTGCATAATAGTGCAACGTGTCCCAACTATAAAAAAATAAGTGCACCAAGCTCCTGCTAGGCAGGAGGATCCGGGGAAGGGACGGACAACAAGGGTCTCTTGTTTTTCTGCAAGAGGCTATATCCATAGCTCGAACATGTGACCTCCTAGTCACACGTCAGCAACTTTTCCAGTTACCCAAGTAACAACGAACAAAAGTTTACCCCAATCAGTAAAAGTAACAAATCCGTTAGAGAATAGCAGCAACTCACCTATGTCCAAGTCCCCTTGTCCATGCAAAAATGGAAGCAACACTGTTTGTACTAGTTTCTTGACCCTTTTGATGCAGCCGAAAATGTCTTGTTACAGTGCCGTGAGCTGCTTCAGCTTCTAATGTCTTGCCATCAGAAGATAACTGCAGAGGAGATACATTCTATTATACAGAGGACCAATGGGTGCGATATTCTACAAAGAAAGCTTAACGGGAAGATACCCACCAATACAGAAGTCATGAGGCCCAGAGAACCAAATCCTAAAATAACAAAGATAGACTTAGTTAGACTTTTAGAAGTTGATATAGTAACTGTATCATCACGCCAAATCAAAACCTTCAACTAAGACATGAATTTCGAAGGAACAGAATGAAGTAACAGAGTACAATCATGAGGATCACCTTGAGCGAGCAGATCACTCTGGACATCTCCATCATAGTTCTTGCATGCCCAAACATATCCACCCTCGCTTTTTAACACATAAGCGACCATGTCATCTATCAGTCTATGCTCATACCTATATGCCAGAGACAGCTTTTGACCAATAATGCAACCATTTTCCAGAAATGAAGTACAAAAACTGCTCATTAATCTCATAAAAAACCAACCATATTGAGTGTTCCTCAAACTGTTGCTTCCACTTCTCTTCGTATACCTCTTGAAAAATGTCCTTAAACCTGACACAATCAAATTTGACGGTGAATAATTCAGCTAAACTCTTAAAAAATATATTTTCTGAAGATTCAAAATAGTATCCCCCCGCTTTCAATTAGACAGGGCTGGAAGGGAAATGATTTGATCAGCATAAATTAAGGATACCT